TGTGTGGTTGGAGTTGCCAGGCAGGCTTCGACAGCTCACTCACTCCTCGCCTCTGCCTCCGTATCCAAATTCTGGGTCCCATGGGACACTGAGGAAACTCTTCCTTGGGTACGGAGACCGGGACAACGAGCTGGGCGTTCACTTCAATCTAGCGCCGAGGTAATGAATACGTGGAGTCATCTCCACTTTCCGAAACTGTTCTTATCATGGAGATGAAAGACAACTTTCCTGTTCTTCAGCTCGTCTTCACGTAACGAAGACTTCAACTTAATAATTCTTCCTCTTTTTTGTTTTACCTACAGCAATTTTCATGTCAGTCTATCTTCTTCGGTTTTCCTTACGGTGAGTTTACGAAAATTTACCACCTCTCCCACGCGTTCTACACGCCTTTCCAACTCAACGTTCTTCATTCGATCATCATAGTATTTAATAAAACTACAAGGTACGATCATTCTCATTAATAGACGTCATTTTTAAATCTTGTTACTTGCTGTACCTTACGCCCTTTTTCTCTTAACACTTTGTTCTCGTTCAATTTTCTTGCACTAGAACGACAGACCAGTTTGTCAGCCACAAATGTTACAGTTCTGTGTGTCCAAACCCTAGGTTCGTTGAGGGAATAAATTTGGCGGATTTCCTTAAGAGACACCCTTCACGCATGCGTGCCCAGACCCACTTGCGAGACTTGACAGTGTAGCAATCAATAACCGATGCGATCACACCTTTCAGTTTCGTTCATGTGACGTAACAGATGACACGTACGTTCACGTGGAGGTGAACGGAACGCAGACCGTGGAAGTAGGAGCGGCACAAGTACACAGATCGGCACAGACGCGTGTAGGTCAAACCATCACTACGTTAGAGACTGCACGAAATGCTCTTGAAGGCGCACAGATGATGAACTGGTTTCATCCAACTGACAGCTGGGTCTAGATGCGACCTCTTGTGGATGGATTATGAAGCTCCTCGCCGGTGATGGCTGTCTTCTGGACTGTAGCACCGTGTAGTCCGGTAGCAAGGGCCTCTGAAAAGTCGGTAAAACTTTTTCCAGACTACACGGCACCCCAACCCAGAAGACAGCCATCTTCAGACTCACCGCTGTAAAATACTCAAATCCTCCTCGCTCATTTTCTTATTTGCAACGTCCCATGACCCAATGAAAACCGGAAGACCATCTATTCTAAGATCTGTCATAGCTTTTACGCGGTTCCTCAACGCATGATTGCTTCGACTTCAAAGGGATTCCTTCCGTTTCAGGGCTGAACTCCCATACATCCCATCCAGCAGAAATTCTTTTCGCAAAGGACAAACTGTCTGATAGGATCTCTTCCACCGGCAGCGCTACAGTCCCTAGTCAGAACATGCCATGGTCTTCAGTCAGACACAGGCACACCCTCGATTGTTGTTCTATCTTAAGTGTGATACACTCATCAGGAAACATTATTCGATGATCACTTAGTCCACTAATGCAGCAGGCTGTTCTCGTACGCATACAAGTCACGTAGCAGCCAGAGAGCGCCATTGTCAGTGTTCTGCTACATCCGGTGCGCGCCGATCGGCCGGGCATTCTCCGTACCTCACGTCACGTTGTGACCACGGCATCAATAAACTCACAGTCGAGACCTGCTCTGGGGTCCACCGAACCTCCTACATTCTGTTCTCCTTCATCTTTTGACGCTAAAACTTCGTATGAATTTCACATCTCCCACGCATGCTTCATATTGCACCTCTCCAACATTCTCCATCTTTTGATGATCTAATTGCAAGGATGAAGACATGGCCTACAAATTATAAATCTCGTCGTTATAGCAGTTTCATGTGGAGGTAACCGAAAGGTAATGGACACGCCACTGGACAGCCTTCAGAGCTCAACACCTGTTGACATGTTATCTCACTCCCGCATTATTTATACCTGTGAGTCATACCTTAGAGACAACAAGTGCCAAAGTGTGTGTAATCGCGTGTCATCCCACTGAAGCGATGAACTTTTAATATAAAATAGTGAGTTCGATCCCCGTAAAGCAACACCTGCAAATTATGAGCTTATTCTGATAATTCTACTACCCAAAAATATACGTAAAATGTATAAACGAAAGCATCTGAGTTAGCGTTTCTCAAAACATGATGTACCCGTGATCGGTGTAACCTCAAAATTCCGACTGAAGGGGGACGGGGGTACCGCAAAGACATGAAACGTCTACAGCACGACAAATCTTGTATGTACAACGCAGAGTAAAAGAAATGAATCCGATAACCTTCTGGGTAGTGTAGTCTGGTAGAAGTTATTTTGTGGAAATTTTGCTGTTTATTCTGAGAACGAAATGAACCCCATCGACAGGTGATTATGACCTGCCGAGTTGCTAAACGTTAAAATAACTGGCACTTGTAGTTACCATTATACTATAAATAATTCTTCTAAATAGAATCCAAACTGCTGAATCGATGTTCTGAGCCGCAGCTCAAGAAACATTCCAAAACGTACAGAAACATTAAGAAGCCTGCTGATTTTCGCGAAAGAACTGGATCGGATACACAGATACGAGGAACAAGCGTGTGGGAATTACCACCTACGCCCTCGACAGCCTGCAAGCAACACGAAGTTCCAACTAATACCCAACATCTCGACCAGCTACATGCTACAAAATCTCGATCGATCTTCGAAAGAGGAGTGACGCTGGTCGTCAAAGGAATGGTTCTCCCAGCGCCGACTTTTGAAGTTGAATGTATCAGATTCCGCACGTAAATCCATCCTTGAAATATTAAAAGTCATGTCTGTTTCTTATTTATATAAACGTGTCACTGTGTACTGGCATTAAGCCATGAAGTTGTAAAGGATTTTCCATTGCAAACGCAACCCGTACCACAGCAGTCCTTGTAGTCTAAGCAATGGTAACATCAGTGTTACGAGCAAACTAACATCTTTTATTTTTTCAGGCAGAACTTAAGAACAGATTTAAGACAGACGTTGAATATGTTCACCGTCTTCTGGAAAGGAAGCTTTCGACAAAAATTTTGATGCCAGTCGGTGTAGTGTTGATTTATTCGGCATTTCCTTGTCAGGAGACGCAATGTCAAATGCTTTACAAATAAGAAGAAGCGATTCGGGTGCGAAGTGACATTTGAGAATGAACACGCGTTATGCTGTGAATACATTACGTTCGCAGTTGTACAACTTCTGCGCAACTTGCTTGACCAGCGGCCTAGCAACCAGGCTGACCTTGACTCGAGTGTCGCGGGATGGGATAAGTCTGTTGTACACGGGTGGACCTCTTTATAATTTAATTTTCATGTTGTGGAATGCAAATGGTGTACCCTTTGTAAGAGGTATGCAACTTCAGCCTCGCGTATTGAAGACCTCGGCAATTAGCCATCTTCAGGTTCCAACAGCTTTGAAGACCCCTGAGTGCTAAAGGGATAGGAGGCTGAGTGGTCCACAAAATCTGTACATTGTTCACTCCTCGCGTTTGTCTCTTACTTCCAACATTTTGCAGTGCATTCTTTTACAGCAGTCTTGCGCTCACATTGTAAAGTACAAAGTAGTCTGAATTTTGCCCTTTAGTCTGCAGCATGGACTGCAAGGCAGAGAAAAACCAAAATACTATTATCTGCGCTCTGCGCAAACACATCTGTTGCACTGGTTATTTCCGCGGATACGTACCACGGTCGTCGTCTGAGAGTTATGTCATCACGTGACTCGCCGGGAAGTCATGTCTGCTCGACATAATTTACTTGGTTCACGATAAATTAAGGAGCATTACAGGCTCGGAAAAGTATGATATGAGTGTGTTCGCATATTTCTGGTTTTTGGTCCCGAACTGAGAATACTGGTGCTGTTTGAGATCGCGGAGACGGGAATTCAAATACGAAGGTCATAATTAGGGGAAATTGTACGCTGATGACTGCAAGAGTACAATCCGGGACGAATAATGACTCCATCATCGGAGGGCAACTCAGGGGAGAGGGGGCCAAGAAACTTAGTCGGCACCGAACAGTGTTAACGACGTCACGCTGTCTCACTCCAAACCAAACTAGATTTTCGGAAAATGTCTTTTGAGGAAAGGTTTTGTTTCCTGAAGTAATGTCGTCTATTGCCTCTAGAAATGAACTGTCTTGCCCTTATTTTCATAACTCATATGTTCTGAGGGTTTTTTTTTACTCATCTTCCGAGAGAAAAACATGGTTGAAAGCGCAAACTAAAATTATAATTTTGCTATTTGGACCTAAAAGGGATGAAGTGACAGGCGATTGGGGATAATTAGATAATGAGGAGCTTTACAAAGTGCTATTAGGAAGGTGGGCGGACATGTAGCACGCATGTGTAAATGAGAAATGCTTACGAAATTTAGTTAGAAGACCCTGAAGGTAAGACAACGCGCGGGAGACTTAGGCACAAATGGGAGGATAATACTAAAAAATGTCTTGAGGAAATCGTTTGTACTGTTCTCATTCAGCGAAGGACAGGGACCGGCGGCGGGCTTTTGCGGACACGGTGATGAACTTTCGCGTTCTATAGGAGATAGATTAATTTATGGACTGACTGTGTGACTATCGGATTCTCAAGGACCGTTCCACGCAATCAGAGAAGTCACATTAAGTTTTTTATATTAAGTAAACATTATCCAATACAGATATCGGCCTCTGCTACATCATTATAAATTATTACCATTATTATAGTAATTAACAGAGGCAGTAGAAGCCGGTGGTTCTTTATCTCTGTCTTGATAACGTGACGTTCCTACTTGCAGGAAGGCAAGATACTTGTCGATCTGTTACTTCCACGGTCCAGATCACGTCTCCGTGCACTGGCAGTCAGATGACCACACAACACACGGAGGAGGACGGAATGGCTGCAGCTATTAAAGCAAGTTACAACTGCGCACTTCATTTTCCAAAAGAATATGTAAGTTTCCATGACGTCAAATTCTCAGAGTTGCTAGAGTGAACACCGTTCTACTCGTAAGAATCCTTTCTTTGAAGTTGTCATTGCTGATTCCAATTCAATTTTATTGGTTTAACTTGAATATGCAACTACCGCTAATTCACTTCACTTCTGCAGAATTGCAACAGAAGTTTAGAGCTTTGTAATTGTTGCACTGGGAATTATATTTGTAGGCATTTAGCATGAATGTAATTATGTATGTAATTATGTATATATGCATTGAGTAAATATGTACGCGTGAATATGACCCCGAGAAAGGTGGACTAAGCCAGCGGTATTCAACCTTTCATGTTCGCGTACCCCAAGATATAATTTCTCTTCAACTCTGTACCCCCAAAGTTGTTGGTGTATAATTCAAGTTATACATAGTATATAATCTACATCTAAAATAAATTAAATAAATTAGATTACTGATTATTCAGTGTTTATCATAAAGTAATATACATATATATTTTTAATTTCACGTACCCCCTAAGATGTCTTCGCGTACCCCCGGGGGTACGCGTATCCTAGGTTGAAACCACTGGACTGAGCTATCCCTACTATCTGAGCTTCTGGGTTGCTGCTCACGAAGAGAAAATCCATTTCCCTTAGCGAAATGCATGGATCATAACTATCACGATTTGGTCAAATAATCCCATGACCCTTACTTCAGACCACAAACCCTAAAGGAAGAGACCACTTGGAAGACCCATACAGAGATCGGAGAATAATATTAAAATTGATCTTAATAGAAATAGTTTTGACAGGTACAGACTAGATTTATCTGGCACAGGAGAGGGACTTGTGGTGGGTGGCTGTGAATCTTCGGGTTTTATAAAATGCAGCTAAATTCTTAAGCAGATGAGCGACTGTTGGCGTCTCAAAGAAGATTCTCACGCACGCATTTATCTCAGCTCACGCCTTCTGCCTCCGCTTCGTCGCTCCCACACATCCCTCATTATGAGCAGATTCGTGCTCGTTATCCTAGTTCCTCCCCCTACTTTTTCAAAAATTTTCATCGCGGTATTCCCCTCTGCCCCTTCGCACCTCCTCCACCTCACCGCGTGGCGTCCAGTTGTTTTAATTACATGTTTCTGTCAGCACGACCCCGCAAAACCGCAGAATCCCAGTTATTTATACTGTCTATGTGCTCTGGGCTAAAACCTGGTTCACACGAACGTAGCAGTCGAATGGTTAGCATTCCCCTTCTTCGCATTCAGCCAAGTCCCGACCGAGAGACCGACAAATCCAAATTACGATTTTCGTGATTCACCTCACCCCCTCTACACAGGTGTACAGGGACAGCGCCTTTAATTATGTCACGTTTCCTTCCTAGTCCTTTCCAATTCATCATTGCCTAATCATATTATTCGATGATACATAATCGCAGATTTGAAAACGTTGTTGAACAAACCAAAACCACAACGCGACGCCAAGTTTCTGAACGTATCCGTTTACGTTAGGGTAAAGGGTTGGCCACAGGATGGTTGTGAACAGGGTAAAATTTTAATTTCACACTTCATGTTACGATGAAGATAAAGCAAGATTCATACACAACCATATCAGAAAGGACATATCGACATTTGTTAATGTAATATCGGATAAGGAAATCTGTAGTGGCTAAAGTTTATTTCAGTTCAATTACTTATTCAATTAAATTCTTTATTACTAGTGTGCTGCATATCAAGAGTAAGAAACAACAGTTCTAAACTTATGGTACGCAAAGGACTTGCCGTCAAGAATGATGGGACACTCTGACGTAGTAAACGCACATAATCATAAATATTCTCTTCTGGGACCAGAATTCCTAAACATCAAATTATCACCAAGCTATATACATAAGGCCCAAAATCCCTCAACAGCATCACCAATACAACGGTTATAAGAACACACACGTTCATAGATAATATCACACAAGATCTAAAATCCGCCGATAGCATAGATCGCCAACCAAATCAACTCCCCATCGATCGCTTATCGATTTTGTAGGACCTGACGTTTTCGCGGAGGAGAATTCGAAGATGGTCTTCCGGGTTGTTGCGCCGTGCGGTCTGGTAGAAGTTTACCGACGTTTCAGAGGTCGTTGCTGCCAGATAGCACGGCGCAACGACCCAGAAGACGGCCATCTTCAACGCGTATTTTCTTTTTCCCGTTGTGAACGGTGCTGTAGTCGTACAGTGAGTGTTCTTATCACGCGCCTCTTCTCTGTTATGATTTATTGAATCTCGACGGCGAGTGCAGTTTGAAACTTGTGTACTGCAAATGTAAACGGGGCGGGGGTTCCACCCTCACTCACGACTTGCCAAGAACTTGAGCTGATTGATTATTCAGTATCAGTCTGAGGCTCCTGCACACGGTTTAAAATACGCTCTAGAATAAAGTCGTTTTAAAGTTACCTAAGGATCTCCAGAAAACCTTTCCAGGACTTCTCCACCCATTCTCCAGAATTTCTCCAGCACTTCTACAGGATTTCTCCAAAACGGCTCAAGGAATTTAAACAACCTCTGCCCAACTTTTCAACACAGTACAAAAGAGCGCGCCAGTGTCCGGCATTCTGAAACCACGTGCACACCGTTTCTGGGAGAACTATTATAATAATTATCAACACACCTACGCGTAGGACTCATGTTCGGTATCTTCTTCAGGCTTTCCCATGTGGGAGGTTTCTTTGTCTTTGAAGTGAGCATTTATGAGCAGTGAGTGACAAGCCCACTGCCTCTGCACAATTTCTACTCAATCCTGATTTGACTGCCAGAGCCATCTAGCAGTGAATCAGGAGACACTTGCAAGGTTCTTTTACGTGCCGTAAATCTACTACGTGGGACCTCTGGCTTTACTTCCCCTCATAAGGAAGTTGTGCTACGGATTTTTATCGCCCTTAAAAATCCATCGACCTCGGCCTGGTTTGAACCCGCGAACCCTGGGTCCAGTAGCGAGCACCGAGGTATGACTGGAATTTGAGATTTTTACTGCGATAAACATGAAGATGGTTGATATAATCTGACAGATATTTGACCGATATTTCAGAAAAGCTTACTACCTTCGTCACAAGATATTTCGACGAATATCGGCCAGGATTCCACAGTGGTACGTCTAATAAAGTAACCCATGCACGCTGCATGGTCCCCCCATCTCAACCTCCTTGATTTGATACCCGTAATATGTGGTGAAGAGCGAAAAGTATTAATTATTCAGTGTTAATATTGTTTTCCGTCTACACAAAACTTTGTTATGAGTTATATTATGTGGCTGCATGCTTCGACACTTAAAAAAGGGAAGTCATAAAGTGGCAAGTTATACTTTCATCACAAATTCAGTTGTGAGCTCCGGCCGTCATGTCACCGAAGTACATGAATTTGCATAGAATACCAATCACGTCCGCCAATATATGGCAAAACATACCAGTAACTTTAAGAGATAGCAAAATGATTCCTGGCTGGTGGTAACGCATAGCTGTTTTTTTAAAGCGACTGGTTATATCTGTGTTTATTTTAATGATCATCATCAGGTCACCATGACCTGAGAGTTAGATTCTAAAATAGGACGCCATCTTGCCATGTGCTCCCAGCATGCTCCTTTGATGAAAGTAGCAGAATATCGTATTGTAATCGGTAAACTGTCAGTCGCTGTGCGTACCAACATAAATCAAATTTTCGATACTTCCTATGGACTGCTTAACCATAAAGCAACAAAGCAAAAAAAAAAAATATATATATATACACAGATGATACTACAAACGAAACAACATCAGGTACAAAAGATGACACCAATAACAACAAGATGGCGAGTCACAAAGGTTAACAGCGAGCATAGGATGGGAAACAAAGACGCTCTCTGGCTTCGTTTTGTTTCTGTGTGTAATGTCCTGCCTCTTCTTCTTCTTCTTCTTCTTACACTGACTAACCTCACTGTCATTCAAGTCGTCTACCTACATGATATTGAGGTTAAGAAATGACCTCAACTATCACATGGGTCTGAAACAAAAACGGACCAGTCACAAAGAAAGATCACACGGGTGTCTTGACAGTAAAATCATTAACATTTCACATCAGCATGACAGAAGACGTAAAGATAAGCGAAACATCTGCGCTCATTGGGCCTGAGACAGGATATGCCTCGTCTTGACAGAGATTAACAAACACCGCGTTTCTGTGGTCTGGGTGACTTGAAGGTGGTTGTAAACGTTTCGGAAGAACGTGTCTCCTCAATTTTCAAGGTAGAAGATGGGGGGGGGGAGAGACGCTACTCCGATAAGCCGGTGACCAACGTCGAGTTTACACGGCGCAAACACAAAACCCCCTCAAATTTCCGCCTATGAGGTTACCACGTCGGGCACATCAACTGTACTCGTCCGAAGTCTGTTAAGTTTTAGCAGAAAATAGAATATACACCATTAACTTTGCTTTCTATTTTCCTCCTTTGTCTCCTTTGTTTATCTTCATTTAATTCTGTTCCATCTTCGTTTCTTTCCTTCCCTCCGTCTTCGTTTCGTCCTTGCTTCCTTCCGTTCTCTCCTTCTCGTTCATCTCTTCTTTCTTACTTTCTTTTTATCAATTTTATTTGTTATGTTTCAAATTTATTCCTTTTTTAGTCAATCAATCTGAGACACCCCAAGTCATTCATTTACCAAATCAGGGACAGAGTGACTTCATTTATTAGTTACTGTCAGTAATTCAGTTAGTTAGTCAATCATACAGCGAGATGCCACTCAGAGATCAAGCTGCTTACTGAGAGAGTTAAGTTGTTGGTTACTTAAGCAGGATTTCCGATGTTAATGGCGATGTTACGGGTTGTTGCGCCGCGTAGACTCCAAATCCTACAGACCACCGACTTTCTCCAGAAACATGTCTTCTTCAGTACTTAAGTAAGAAGGAACATTATGTTAGTGAATGACATAGGGTTAGGTGGAGATAATGGGTCATATCAATCGCAAAATACCTTACCACCCCCAGCCTCGCGCCCACTGACTTAAAGTCGTCATTTCTCTGCGTCGCTTTGTACTTTCGCCATCTACCAGAACACGCAGAAAGTCTTGGTTTTATCACTTTGGGCTGAATTACACGAGAGCGTAGCACGTTCATACACGCGTCTTAAAGGAACACACGAGAGGAACGTGACTTTCCTAAAATTATTGGCTGTAAACTACAGAATGATTCTACAACCCACGTCATCCATTGTGTGCGTTCCGAAATGATCCCTTCGAATGTGTATCTGAACTAAGTATCTTGAGACATTTATATGACGTGATATGTATAATAATGCGGCTTAATTAATTAAAGTATACATCAAGATATTAAAGAACAATAGCCTATAAAATTCCAGTACACCCAACAAAGCACATGCGCTGA